CAGGCGCCGCCGCCTCGGGGTGCCCCCAGCGCGCCCGGGAGCCCTCGGCGCTCTCCAGGGACTCGGCGGAGCGCAGGGTCATGGGGGGCGACGGCGGCGGCGGGCGCGGCCCCGCTCGCACGCAGGTCGAGGGCTGCCCGCGGGGAGAGGGCTCCGCTTCGCCGCCGCCGCCGCGGGGCTCAGCACCGCGCCGGGTGCATGGCCCCGGTCCCCGGGCCGGGCGCCGCCTGCGAGCGGAGAGAGAGCGTGGTTAGCGGCGAACCCCGCGAGAGGCGCTCCCGACGCAGCCCGTGCGTTTCTGGCGCTCCCGCTTCGGAACTTCCCAGCATCCAGAGGAGGGACCCGAGGCGAGAGATCACCTCCCGGCGGAGCGGGGGAGGGACATCTCCTCCCCGCCGCCCGGCCTGCCCCCGGCTCCCCTCCGCCGGGGACGAGGCGGAGGCGGCGGCCCGCGAAGGTGGGCTCGCTTTATCGCAAGAGTAAACCCGCTGATGCGCCGCTCCCCCCGCCGCGGTAGGCGAGCCCGGCCGGCAGCGCTGGGGAAAGGGCGTTTGGGGAGGGAGGAGGTCGCGGGGGGGAGCCCAGCAAGTCAAGGTGCCAGTGGGAAGGGGTAACGGGGGAGCGGGGCAGGTCGCAGCCCCGGCGCCGCCCGGGTCGCACGCCGCGGTGTCCTCCCGGCGGAGCGGGGGAGGGACATCTCCTCCCCGCCGCCCGGCCTGCCCCCGGCTCCCCTCCGCCGGGGACGAGGCGGAGGCGGCGGCCCGCGAAGGTGGGCTCGCTTTATCGCAAGAGTAAACCCGCTGATGCGCCGCTCCCCCCGCCGCGGTAGGCGAGCCCGGCCGGCAGCGCTGGGGAAAGGGCGTTTGGGGAGGCAAGTTCTTCCTAAAATAGCTGTGAGTCATTCATGCTCCTTTTGGCATATTACTTTTTTTGCCCATTGGAAGTCTCCAAGCATTCACTCACATACCAAGTCGTACCTCTAGGAACGGGAGCCCGGCGCGGGCCGCGCTCCCGGCGTGGGAGCGAGCCTCTCCGGGGCAGCGGCGAGTGCGGGGGGCTGCGGGGCGGGTGCGCGAACAACGCCGGCTGCCGGGGCTCGGTGGCCGCTTGGGCACGGGAAGGGGCAGCGCAGCGGAGGGCGCGATATATTTAGCACGGGGCAGGAAACGTGCTTTTCCCGTTCCATTAAATGCTGATGCTATAAAAAAATTACCATTCCGCTCGGCTGGATGGGGACGGGAGGGACAAAACCAGCCTTTCGCTGTCCCACTGTCACCCGGTGGGAGCGACGCGAAGCCGGGCAGCGCTAGCGAGAGAGAGCCGAGCCGGTTTGGCCGGGGAGGGGGTCAGGGGGAAACTTGCGAAGCGGGCAGAGTCTCTCCCCCCAGGTGGGCAGCAGCCGCAGGTGAGGGGTTATGCCGAGGTGGCTCCTCCCGTCACAAGTGCCGCGGCGGCGCTCAGAAACTTTTCCAAATTCAACTTTATTGGCAGCCGATAGGTTGCTCTGCCGGGTTTCTATCGCAACAAATGCAAGCAACCACCCGGCGATCAAAGCCCATCCCCGTCCCCATCTCCCCCGCGCCGGACCTCCCGCCGCCGGCTCGGGCACCGGGCGCAGGTGCGCCTGTCACCGGAGCGGCGGCGGGCGCGGGGACGGCGGCCGCAGAGCCCCGGCGCAGGTGGAAGCAGCCTTGGCGGGGGTGTCCGGGCGCGACCCGTTGCGAAGGGAGCTTGGTGAGGACGGAGGGTTTGCGAGGCGGTGGCAGCGAGCTGCGGCGGAGCGTCCCCCGACAGGGACGAGGAGCGCCGGGGCAGCTGCCTCCGGCGTCGGGGGAGCCTCCATCCCGCCTGTCGGCAGCTCCGTCCCCGGGGCAGGGCGGCGAGCTCCCCGCTCTCGAGGAGCGGCGGGGCACAGGGGGACGGCGACGGGACTCACCCGAGGTCGGCGGGACGGGGCTGGGGCCGCCGCTGCCGCCGCCTGGAGGTGTGTGGGGGATCAGGTTGTTCTCGCTGCCGGCGGCGTTGAGGGGGGGGGTTGATACGGGGCGGCCGGGGAAGAAGCGTCGGGGCTGCGCTCGGGCAGACAGGCAGGCTGCCG